AGGACACAGGAAATTTACCTTTATAAGAATTATATGTAATCATTTGATATGAAAGTTTTGGGCGAGTAAGTCGCATAGATTAAATATGATTCATATGTGTCACCAATTTAAGATGTTTTTAGTGATAAGACCAATTAGAAATCATAGTCTATATTGTTTGCTTAATGGGTAAGAATCATTGTTGTAGTGTGCAACAAGATGAAGGCTCCTTTTCTAATTTTGGAAACATAGACAGATGTGATAAATCATGTACTCTTGTTTGTAACAGTTATCAAATCATTATTTATGCGGAAAAATTAAGAATTATATCTGATTACATAGATTTGTTTTGACACGAGACTCATAGAAATGGACACTTTTAGACTTTTGCTATTGCTATAGAAATCTATGCATGGGTAAAGATTAGCTTTAAAATTGTAGAAATATATTGTTACTTGCCTTCTTAGGGTTAATGAAAAAAATGCAAAAACCTACATCTAGACGGACGATTTGCTTCGTCGACAACGGCAACTGACCTACGCCATTTCTACCAAGAGTATATCATAAATGATAATTTGACACACATAAGGAACGTTAAGCTTTAATACGAGAGACAGCCCACCATAGGTTTCGATGACGAATGTAACAAAAAGAGCATGTTCAACCGTTCTAAATACGGGTAGTTACAATAAGTAGGATTGCAATACGCATGGAACGAGAAGACTGAAGTCGTGTTTGTCAGCTGCTCAATCATTAGCTCCTCTAACAAGGTTTGAATAGCAGTAGTATGTGCAAACCGAGTTTTAGAATTGAGTAATGGTGATGATGTTGCATTCATCAATAATGATTGTTGGAGAAGAGAGACATACGATGCTTCGTAAAAGCATTCGAATGATGAAACAAGTGTTCCTTCAAATGGTTGATAGTTGAATATCATGCCAGGTACAATTGTCTCGTTCGATATTCTATTCGTTTCGAAAATAACAGCTGACTGAGAACAACCATTCAGGTTCCAACAGGAACATCCATCAGTAAAGACATTCACAACGGGTACAAACGTTTTTCTGTCATCAGAACTGAGAGTTTTCAAAGGCAAACGAAAATTGGTCACTAAACCCGAGATCAATTGATTGCCTACTATTGATCGTTGAGTAATAAGTAGATTTCGTTTCAGAACAGCTACTGAATTACCAATCGCAAATTGGAGAGCCATTTTAGCGTTTGTTTCGACTAATCATTGAGGCTGTGCTACTGGACTTGGCAGTAAGATCGTATTGAAGTTGTCGAGTACATCAGTCATCGTAATTTTTGCAAGACTACACAACAATCGTATCGATTGCCACAAAGTGCTTAATGTTATTCGGATGTCGATGGACGAGATAAACGTACAATTGGAAATATACGACGCCTTGATTCATGTTTCGGAAAGAAATTGACTTGTCAAGACTTCATGAAAAATAACATGATATTAAATAAACTCACTGTACAGTATGGTGTTACGCGAACAAGGACATTTGATCGTGTCTGGATAACGAACGTGAAGCCACTTGAACTCTTGCTCAGAAGGATTATATTTGTTAATGATAACAGTATGCAATCGAAGAGTCGCGTACACGATCAATCCGGCCATCGACAGCGAAAGCAAGACCAGGTAGAGACGAATGATAATTCTCGCTTGTTGAATTGTATCGAAATTGTTTGAGTCCGATTCGAACAAATTGAGGGTTTTCAAAACGTTACGAATCCCCATAAGAAAACTCCTACTTTGGACAACTGGGTTTGATTTATATTTGATGAAAGTAAAAGCAAAGAAATAGAAAAACTTATTGCATTTTTCTATTAAATCGAACACATCAATGCCTATTGTGAAAGCAGCAAGTGTACTTCAAATTGAGAAGAAAGTAAATGTTTTTTCCTATACATTATTTCCTGCACTGATATTTTGCTATTAGGGTAGACTGAAACCAACGTTTATTGGCAGTGCCAAAAGCAATTATTATATTATTTACTTCATACATGGTCGTGTGCAAAATAGAAGCTCAAGTTTCTAAAGATACAATATTTCATTGCACCTTTTTGCCTACTCATTGAGATAACTATCACCTATGGCTACTCATAAAAAAGTTGCTAATAGTGAATAGATGAACATATAATCGGTGTGTTGCAATCATAGAAGTAAACGCGTGATCTTATTACAATTATAACGAGAAGTGGCAATATTGCAGTAATGAATGTTATAACAGATTCATATATGATATATTGATGCCGACTGGTGCGTACACAGTAGAGAATTACTTGAAAAAACAAATTGTTTCAATTTTTATGTCTCCAATTGCTGAAACAAATTGTCTTTTTTTGATACTTATTACAATCTCAGCTATCATTTGTAAGTATGAACATTAAAATATCAAAAGAAGAGAAACTCAATGCGCTGCTTCTCGAATGTCAAATTCATTGGAATTTAATTCTCTCGATAAATCTAGCTTTACTCTCAGAGCGTGCCTGTTTCAAGAGTTTTGCCAATATATTTGTCGAGCCAATCCTCAAAAAACTTGTAACGAGATCCACGGCGGATTGTAGCAGGATTTTGTTTACTTCTTGGCACTCAAATTCACTCTTGCTTTTGAATAATCATTCTGTACGTTTGCCATTCAGTTTTTATTTTGAAAACTTTCTACTGTCATCAAAGATACAGACGTAATTCATTAGATATGAGTTTTACGTTGGAATAATACATCTTCAGTAGGAAGAAAAAATATTTTACTAACAGTTATGTTTCGCTTGATATTTATTTTATGTAGGCATTCACCAATACGGATCCGAGTCGCTTCCAGTTCCACGAATGGATGGAACTGACTGGAGTTTGATCGAATAAATGAAATTATGTTTCTTTCACGTATGCATATAAATCAATTGATGAAATCAGCTGGTTTCCATTGTTTTGGATAAAACTATGCGCCATATAAGTGGTGGAAATGATTTTTTGCAAGTAAAAAACAAGTCGAACACTTTGCAACTCTAGGAATTAAGCCGGCATAAGAAAGACAATCGAATCTCAATATCAGCTGAGAAGTAGTACATGAGTGTCTTGCATTCTCACTTATCATACTTTCAAGCATAATCTTCCAATAAATTTTTTATATCCTTATATATAAAAGAGAAAACAATGTGAACCTTTGACTTTTCAACGCGAAAAAACTCTACGCGAGATAAAACCACACGCTGCCTGTATCAGCCGCTTTCGAATGTCGTATCGTCAATGAGAAAAATAACTTGATTTGATTAGTGAATATAAACGAAAGAGATTTGTCAATAATGAGATATCGAATAATAACAGTCTCTTCACGTTAAGTTATTTTGTATTGAGAAACTTCTCGATTGGAAAAACTGTGTTACATGTTGAAATTCTAAGAAACTTTAACAAGAACACATTGTTTCATCATGAACATTGATGTGTAGAATATTAGTTCATCCGATGTAATCGTTTGTCAAGAAAAAATGCTATTTATATGTTGGCTCAAAACAAGAAATGTCCAAATATGAATTAGACATCATCGAAGCATCAACTGATAACTGTTCAGATGTTGACTGCATGTTAATTATGAATCAAATATCACTGACTTTCAATATGCATATATCTATGTAATTTCAAAACATATAATCCATTTCATTATCGATTCCAAGAAGCAATCAAAAACTAACGGCGTATGAAAATTATTCACCAACTATTTTGACTGCTGCCCTAGGGAGAGCCTATTCTTTCAAAGAAGGAATGAGTGAACATAACTACTGTTCTTCATTTAATGTATCAAGTATCTGAAATCAGTTACATGCTAAGAATCAAATTCAATCTTAGTATCCCTATTCAATTAGAAGTAAAATTCAAGATAATAAAGGATATCAATTATTAGTTTATTGTTACTTGAGAAAGCAAAGTGTGCAAATAATTATGAGAAATCCATTACTTCTGATTTTTAATGCGGAATGATATATCTAGCGTTAAGATTGCGTATCAATATGGCTAGATGATTGGCTCGAATAGACATGCATTTTGATTATTTTGCACACATAGTCAACATCTTCTTGTTTCATACCGTGATGAGCGCCGATCAAAAAGCCATTCTTCATAATTTCGTCCGCATTCGGAAAGACCTTATTGAACTGTCTATATGCAGGGTGTCGAGTAATGTTACCTGCAAAACACACTCGTGTCTGAATGTTGTTCTCTTCAAGTTTTTGAAGGATTACTTTGCGGTTGGGTAACATGAGTGGTAATGCAAGCCAATCTACTTTGTCATGATTTTTTGGGAGTATAAGGCCATGAGCTTCTAATTCTTTGAGTTGTTGCACAAAACGATTTATATTTTGACGACGTGTTTCAAGAAATAGTGGTAACTTTTTTAACTGTTCTAGACCAAATGCAGCATTCATTTCAGTCGATTTCAAATTATAACCGAGAACAGGATACAAAAATTTGAAGTCGTATTCAATGTCGTCAACACAATGTCCAAAACGTTCTGAGAATGATTCAGTGTTCGTACCCATTCGTCCCCAATCACGATATTGTAAAGCAAGATCACGTTGACTCTTCTCATTACACATAACCATTCCACCACCACCACCTGCTGTAATGATATGACTAGAATAAAATGAGGTTACAGCAATATCTGTTATTGTAGTGTTCGTGATCGTATCGCAGGAATCTTCGATGAGCAAAATATCTCGACGACCTAACATAAATAATTGGTCCTTCAATCCTTGCCAGTCAGGCTTGCTACCGATCAAGTTCGGAAGAAAGAAAGCTTTTGTACGTGGACTAACTTTTTCAATAATTTGTGTGACAGAAGGTACATACGAACCGAGTTCTACATCACAGAATACGGGTACGATGCCGAGTTGAACAATGGGAGCAACAGTTGTGGAAAAGGTACATGCAGGTGTAACAACTTCATCGCCTGCTTTCAAACCTGCAACGAGCAATGCCAATATATTACCTGATGAACCTGAATTAACCATTACAGCATATTTTTTTCCAAAGATACCTGCTATTTCGCATTCAAATTGTTCAGTAATGGGACCTGGTGCAAGCCAACCCTTGCGTAAGCAGGCTTCGACAGCTTTGATTTCTTCATCACCATATGACTCGAATTTATTTGGGGCGTACCATATTTTCTTCGTATATCCGTGAACTTTATTTCCCGATGAATCCATTTTTAAGGTCAAAAATCTATGTTTGAATGATTACTAATCTGTGACATAAACTCTAGAAACAAAATGTTTTGGTATAAGAGTATATGTATAAGAATATTGGTCTCCAACTATATTTAACGAAATCTAATCATCAAAATTAGTTATAGAAGATAGACGTAAACGCACAGAGTAATAAGGGTACAGGAGTAAACAGATAGAGCTAATGATAGGGATGTAAGGATCGGTAAAATACGTTATGAAAATTTATCTACGAGACTGTTCATGCAAAGCCTTTGCTCCAGTTGTTTAGAAGAAATTTGATAAAAGATGTCTTTTATATGAAACCGCAACGGATAGTTCCTGTGTGCTTAGAACAAGATCACTTTTAGACTGGATAAAAAACTAGACATAAACGATAAGTATGTTGTGTCTTCAATGATGTTTGCTGATGAGATCCTTTCTTAGGGCATAGGCAGAAAATCAATTACGTCTTAGTTTACCAACAGTAAGATATTCAGGGAATATTAGAGACATAGAAATGTCTATATCAGCAATATCTCAAACATACGCAAGAACAGATATTTTGATATACGTATGATCGATATAATGGACAAATACATACAAATGATATGATAAATATACAAAGTACACCGTGCCATTTGTGCATGTTTCTACAAGAGGTAAAAAGATAGAGAAAAGTAGCTCAGTTGTAGTAATAGCGGTAAACACAAACTAAATTAAAAAAAAATTTTTATTGTCGTCCATGAAAGATAGCAAATATCTTTTTTTTCTGGAAATATTTCGTTATTTGAACTATATGCTACGCCACTTATATCGTTTTTATGTTTAAAGTTAATTGCTCAGTTTGAGACACGTTCGTTGTGATAAAATTGTTCTTTTTGATACAATTACACTTCCTCCAGAGCTTCGTCATATTTAATTAAGTACATTAAAGCAAATTTTCTAGTAGCTATGATGTTTTTTTTTTCACAGAACCAAAGTCTCTTGTGAATGTACATAAATGAAAACCTTTATCAAATAATTATGTTGTTTTTCTGATATTTTGACCGTGTAATATCTTAGGTAATGCTCAATCTTTTCTTAATTGTACATATGTTTTTGGTCCATAGCTAACTATAAAATCGAAACACGAGTGTCGAACTTCGTTGAGTATCCTATCGTCAATAAAACACAAGCTCATTGTCTTAATTAATATGGGTATTCGTAAAGCATCTTTTTCTGTTCTCGGTAACTTATTTCGTATGTCACGTGAAGTTATCCAGCAATCCGAACAATTTAGTTGATCACGCAAATACTGATCTAATATTTCTAAAACATTGAATATCTTTTGTATGTATACAAGTCCTAATATAAGTCATGGAAGAATCACTATGTTCTCTTGCGCATATGTTGGAGATACAGGAGATATTCAAGACATTAAGCTATAAGACTATATCGTTCATAGCGAAGTTTGGTTGAGTTTCTGAATAAATCCATAAAAGACATACGTTTTTGTCAACAAAATATTCGTCGAAACAACATATAGTTGAGAAAATGCTCTTTGAAGAAAAGAACTGCAAACAATGTTGATAATATTAAGATGAATTTTTAAATAAAAATCTTGATATGTGTTAAATAAATATTATACAATTGACTTAATGAAGAATACACGACAATAAATAAACAAATATAATGTCAATGTATAAAAAGAATCGTATTTGCTTTTTATTTCTGCTTCAACATTTTTGTGTTCGCTGAGTCTTTTCTCAGTCTTCTTTCTTTGTTGATCTTGATATATTGACGAACTAAAGAAACAAAACACTGATTATCTTTCAGCAAAATGCTATATTAAGAAACTACTTGCCGATCAAAACGTTTTGACGAGATGTGACGGTAATAAACTGTTTTTCTACTATTAAAAATTGAATCTTTCAAAACTCGACCATCGATATTTTTATCACAGCGGTGACATCGGCTGAACCGATCGACTTACACTTCGGATAATAAGACTTTCGAAATTAATATTGCTCATTCATCTTCGATATTTGAGAAAAACTACTATTAGAATACACTACCTTCTCGTGGCGTTACATTTTGCACACTGTGAGATGAATTCAAATCAATAATAAAATTATAATTGATTTAAGATTACTCCTGTTCGCAAAGGAAACGGAAAAGGTGATAGCTAATATCGTTCTCGTTCTCGAGAGAAACGCAAACGCAATAATTAACATTATTGCCGTTCACACAGAAAACGGAAAAGGAAATAATTCAAGCCATTCGCGTCCGTACGGAAAACGACAATGGCAATAATTAGTATCGTTCCGATTCTCTTGAAAATGGGACAGGAAAATAAAGAGAAAAAGAACATTCCCACAGAACATTTACTAATTTGATGATGTAGAGTAAGTTCTTTTATCAGCGATTTTTAATATATTGATTAAAACTTTAAAAAGACAATAATCATCATAGTGGAAACTATGAAATCAGTGATCGTTGAGGCTGTATAAACAATCATAGATGTATAGAAACTATAAAGAAAATGGAGTCTAACAGGGGAGCCGCACAAAGTAACTCATCACTTTTGAGTTCGAATTTTGAGAATGTAGAGAGAAATTGTAGCCTAGAGAAATCCATTAAGAATTCAAGTTCATACACTTTCTTTCACATAGTCACGATACTTTAATAAGTTTTTACCATAGCATAAGATATTGAGAGGATAATTGAACAAAGGCATTCTGAGCTGAAATATTGTCTATATCTAAGTCTCGTGATATAGATATAATTGAAACCGTGTTCACGTAGAAATTTGTTCCAAGTACAACTCGGCAAGCTCTATCATATTGTATATTCACTAGTAAAATATGCAACTTTACTTCACTACATGAAATAAAATGAGTAAACAATGCATTTCATGTACTTGCGAACATCCCCAATTTGTGCTCGAATCTGGTGTCAACTTCATCTACGTAGTCACATAATCCAAAGAGTATGCTAGACGGTTTCATCAAAACGATTGCTGTCTTTATGAACTGTTTAGTGTTCAAAAACGCAGTAAATTCAAAAGAAACAGTCAGAGAAAGTGCGACTTTTGTAACATGAAATTTCTCATGAAGAACTTCATTGTTTTGTCTGAAAATTCTGTGATTTTCTTAAGATCATAAAACCTGCTTATAAAAAAATTTCCGATAAGCAGTTCTTGGTTCAATTTTCATGCTCACACAGAGTCTTTTAGTAAAAGTTCAACAAAATCATTATAACTCTGTGAGGAAGGCTTATAGATTAAAATTCGTTTTCTATTATTCTAGTCTAGAGTAGTTTTTTGATATGCCTAAACACTGTGTTACATATGTTATATATAAGTATTTTTGAAACAAAAATAAGTGCTCTTAAACAAAGCTCAATGCATCCAATGGGATTGTACTCAAATACTATTGATGCTTCGGTATGTCTTTTTTGCAGAATAGATTCAGCAAAGAATACGAAAGAGTAATTCTTCAAAAGTGTTTATATTGTAATTTTTTAACACCAAGAGTAAATACGCAGTCACTAGACTATCCAGTGATGTATACATGCATTAATCATGCACAGTAAGATAAATTTTTCTTTCATTTTGAAACTACTCATATTTCACAAGACATCGAAACTAATGTCGTTTTCAAAAAGCAATGGATGTGGCAATTTTTTGAATAACTTTAGAATGGAAAGAGTCAGTGAGCTGCAGTTTTCACTGTTCGAAAGAGATGAAACCGGAGCGTCGTTTTGTCCAATATTGTATAAATGAAATCGTTTTAAAATCAATTATTTCTCCAAAACATTTCAAAAACTGCATGAAAACTGTCTGTCATTGCGATGAATTTTAGTTTTGATATGTGATTTATATAGAGGGACTTCAGATCTATAGTTTAACATATAAGGCGAATAATTATATTCACATATTCTAATGTTAAGTAAATAAAATTCTCTATTTACTCGCTCGAAAAATATGAATTTCTTCTAATTTTGAAGCAAATTTTATCACTTATTGTTAAAATTTCACCTCAACGGCAGATAATTTTTCTGCATTTTTTCGATATTTTATAAAAACGGTTGATTTTAAAATGATTACATCTTATACACTATTGGAGAAGAAGACGTTGTGATGTCTCTTCTTTCAAATGGTGAAAACCGCCGGTTCCTACCTGTTTCCATTCTAGAGTTCTTCACAAAACAACCACACCCCATTGCTTTTTGAAAACGACAATAGTATGACCTTAACGTAATCCATGAATTTCAGAGAATTTTTTGAAGTGTAATATCGAAATACTCAATTGATAATGTGTGAAATGAATGTAAATAATCCTTATATCTTATTGTTGCTACACTAGTAGCTAAAACGAGGTGAAACTCCGAGTGAAAGACGATTTATCGCTGCATGGATGAGGCTGATAAAATCATATGATCAAAAGATACAAACATTTTAAAAGATGTGACGAGTCCACAAAGAACAAAATTAAGATCAGAGTGGAGAGGGCCGAGGCGAGACGGAGAAAACTTCTTGTAGGATTCAGATATCAGAACGATTCTTAATCTTCTTTTCAGCTTCTATTTCACATCCTCCGCCCTATCAATAGGAAAAGATACCTGGAGGAAACGATACACCAAACCTAATACAAGATTCTCATAAATTAATCATTCCTCTAAATGTATTCGGTTATGAAAAGCTTTCTAGGAACATCTATCTGGCGAATCACAGATGACTAGGTATGGAGTTTAATGTATATAAAAAAGCTTGTTAGCGCAGCCCCTTTCAGGCTGAAATGTGGAACTCACATATCTTCTTTACTTTCACTCTGCTGATGGCAACATACATAATGTTTAAATTCTCTCAGAGACGATAATTCTTTTCTAATGATAATTGATTGTTAGGAAATATTGTCGTTTTTTATTTATATACTTCGAGTAGAATCTTTTTTTGTGAAGTTGCTATGGTCTGTAAGGGGGGACTGTCTGTACTGAGGGGGAGGGGTTATGTATGTAAT